AAAATCATGTCCAAACGCCTACTTAGATTTTTCTAAAGTAATAGTCAAATCTTATCACTTTAATTAAATGTTATTCCTTGATTTACTATATTATATTCTATTCAAACTATACTATTTTAGAATGGTCAGAAACAACAGGATTCTTACGGGAGTTTTCAAAATTTGAAAGTTAGATTTGAGTAGGCATGATTCTCGAGCAAACATATTTTTTTCCAGTTCTTGCCCTTGGAAGTTTATTAGTATCATCTAAATCACTGAATGCATGTTACTTCCTTGATTTCTAAATTTAGAAGTTTAGGCAAGATCAGAAGTACGTAGATTTCTTGGTTCCTATCCAGAAACTTGAATTTACAGCATTGATGGACACATGACTTATTTTTTTTTATAAAAGATAGAAAAAGAATGATTTGTTTTTTGTACTCAGCACAATATTAGAATTTAATAATTCTACTAATATTATCTTTATCATTCAAAATTTATAGATTTTGTAATTAGGTCTATATATTTTATAGCATTCTTGTTGGAAACTGAGTTTGCAAGAACATTGCGGAAATAATAGTACGTATGATCACTGAAAACACGAAATGTGACAATAGTAGTAGTATAAGTAAGTACTACATCCGTTTCAAATTAAATGAGATACTTTACTTTTTAGTATGTTCCAAAATAAATGACACATTTCTAGATTTGGAAATAATTCAACTTTAAATTTTTTATTTTACCTATTTTACCCTTAATATGAAGATTTTATAACCACAAAAATACAATGACCCACAAAAATATAATGACCCCATAAAACTTTTACCCCCTAAGCTTTTGAGACCATGTCAACGGGAGCCCAACTTCAGGCCCAAAAACAGCTAATGTCCAGCAACCCAATTAACTATACTACAACTTTCTTTTATTAAAGTTTAGTCCATGTAATTGTTAGTAATATCTCATGTATATATAGTGATAGAATAGTCTAGAAAGACGGTCATTCATTTCTGTATTTTCAGAGACAACATCAATGACATAAAAACTCTCTCTTCTCTTTCTATTTTCTAGGGTTTCTTTTCAATAATATTCTTCTCATAGCTCGATTTTCTACCATTAACATGGTATCAGAGCAAGGAATCGATGATCCTTGATCTCCTCTTTCGACCGATGTTAGCCTCATCGATTTCCATGGAGTTTTTCGGTTCTGTCGATCCTATCTGTCCTCATATTTTGAAGTGAAGATTTGGGATACGGTGTTATCTAACTCTGCATAGTAACTATTTGGAGTTTCTTACGGTAATTTTGGTGATTTCCGTTCTCCGGTACTGTTCTCCGGTATTTCTTCACTCTCGCCGATTTCAGCAGTATTATCAATTTCAAGGTCTTACCTTATTTAGGGTGCAAAGAAGGACGGTAATATTCTCCTCAATCCTGCTACATATTTGTGAAAATCGAGTGTTTCTTGTATCAATTCTAGAAATTTTACAAATCTAGGGTTAAATCATGGGAAGTCCAGATGCTAGCTCTTCTTCTGTGATAGATGGATTTGATGCCTTTACTGTACATCCATCTCACCCATTCTATGTTCATCCATCTGATAGTCCTGGTGCACATTTAGTGTCTCCACCTTTCGATGGGAATGGTTTTGTTATTTGGCGTAAAAATATGCTTATTGCTCTGTCCGCTAAAAACAAACTAGGGCTCATAACTGGAAAAGTTAATAAACCTCAAATTAACTCCCCTTATTATTCCTTTTGGGAAAAATACAAAAACATGGTAATTGCATAGTTAACAAATTCATTATCTAAAGACATATCAAATAGTGTCATGGGTTTGACACTACTAAAGACATTTGAGATGATATAAATGAAAGATTTGGGACATCAAATGGTTCAAAGTATATCCAAATACAAAGGAAAATCAATGTTGTTTCTCAAGGTCCTTTAGATATTGCTACTTATTTTACAAAATTAAGAGGTCTTTGGGATGAACTTAGTACTGCCTATGTAGGACCAGTATGTACTTGTGGAGCCTTACCAAAATTCATTGAACAATAGAAAATATACCAATTCCTTAGTGGTTTAAATGAGTCCTATTCTACTTGCAAGAGTAATATTCTAATAATGGCATCCCTTCCATCCCTAAGCAAAGCCTATTCTATGCTTCAACATGATGAAAAGCAAAAGGAGACTTCAGCTCCTATCTCCAGCTTCTCAAATGAATCAGTCTCTTTCAATGCTTTTAGCAGCCCTGTCTAGGCATCTGCTAGACCTTTTACTCAAAGGTTCCAGTTTGACCAAAAGAGAGGCTCAGGTTCTTCCTCTCAATTGTCTTGCAAATAATACAAAAAGACTGATCATACTATTAAGAAGTGTTACAAACTTCATGGGTTTCCTCCTGACTTCAAGTTCACCAAAAGCAAAAGGACTGCTGCTTGTGTGCAATTTAAAGGTCCTTTTCCTCATCATGCTCACATTGATGGACAGTCTTCTGAGACCACTAGTCATGGCTTCAGCAAGGAGTAGTATGACCATCATATGACCCTTTTCCAACAGCTGAATCATCCTTCAGTCATACATCCTCACACTCTTGGTTCAAAAAATATTGGTTTTTCTCACTTTGCATGTGTGTTTAATCATCCTGAAGTGCATTCTGTTGCTTTTCATACATGTGTAGTTTCAAACTTAGGTTCAAATCCTTGGATTCTAGATTCAGGTGCAACTAACCACATGACACCACACAACATCTTTTAATAAACTTAACACCACTTACAACTCCTTTCTTAATAACTTTTTCTAATGGATATAAAGTGAAGGCCATATCTATTGGGTCTATGTAATCAGGCCAGACATGATCTTACATAATGTTCTGTTAGTTCCTTCCTTTCACTTCAATCTCATATCTATTCACAAACTCTTAGTTCAATTCAGATGCATTGCAACTCTTACCATTTATGCTTGTATTTTATAGGGCCCTTCTCTGAGGAGGCCACTTGAAATTGGTAAAGCTGCAAATGGGTTGTACTTCTTGCATCCTGCTATGACTTCATCTCCTATGTCTGCTGTTCTTTTACTATCAATGCTTCTAATCCTATTCAATGTAATAATTCTAGTGCTTCTTATAATGTTCAATCTACTCCTGCAAATGTTTCTTTTACACATTGTACTAGTACTTCTTCTGATATTAATAAAAATGATGTGATTTGGCATCAAAGATTGGGGCATGTTCCTTTTAATAGAATGAAATCTATCTCCTTTTGTCTGATTAGATTTCACCTAGACAAATATTTACTTGTGATATTTTCCCAATGGAAAGATAACAGAGATTGCCATTCTCTGACAGCTCTATTCATTCCTCTACCTCTTTCAAGCTTGTTCATATTGACATCTGGGGTCCATACAATACTCAGACCTATAATGGGTTCAGGTATTTTTTAACCTTGGTGGATGATTTTTCTAGAGTCACTTGGACTCACCTATTGTCATGCAAGAGCAATGCCCTTTTTGTGCTTAAGGTTTTTCATGCAACGGTGAAAGTTCATTTTAACTCAACTGTCTAGTCTTTTAGGTCTGATAATGCCTATGAGCTAAGTGCTAGCTCTGAAGCCCAACAATTTTTTTCTGCCAATGGCATTCTCCATCAGACTAGTATCCCTCACACTCCCCAACAAAATAGAGTAGTTGAAAGAAAACACAAACACCTATTGGAATTGTCTAGGGCTCTTTTGTTTCAATCTAAACTTCCCCTTAAGTATTGGGGTGACTGTGTTCTCACAGCCACTTATTTGATTAATAGGTTATCTTCCATTGTTCTTCACAACCTTTCTCCATTTGAAAAACTATATGACTATCCCCCTTCCTTTGATCATTTAAGGTCTTTTGGATGTCTTTGCTATGACACTAGTCCCAAGCATGGCAGGGATAAATTCAAACCTAACCCTATCTCTTGTGTGTTTTTGGGATACCCCTGTGGGAAGAAGGGTTATAAGCTTCTTAATCTTTCTACTTATTCTATATTCTTTTCTAGGGATGTGTTCTTTCATGAACACATCTTTCCTTACCACCTTCCTCCTTCCTCTTGTTTCCCTTCTCCTCCCACTGATTTTTTTGACTTTGATCTCTCTCCTGTTGCCTCTCATTCCCCAGCACCTTGTGCCTCTTCTCCCTTGATACCTCCTAACACTTCTTCTACACCCACCTCTTCTTCTCCTCCTCCTTCTACTTCTGATCCTTCCCCCTCCTCTTCCTGATATCAGGAGATCAAGCAGAGTTGTTAACCCACCTGTCTACCTATCAGATTATGTTTGCTCCTCTATTATCCCATCCCCTTCCCCACCTATCTCCCTGAATCACAAGGTTTATACCTCTGATTTGCACATGCTTGAGCCTCAATATTACCAGCAGGCTGCATCTCATCTTGCTTGGAAAAAAGCCATGCTACAGGAATTCCAGGCTCTTGAGGCTAATCATACATGGGACATTGTCCCCCTACCTTCTCATAAGAAGTCCATTCCCTGTAAGTGGGTATATAAGATTAAGCAGAGGTTTGATGGCTCCATTGAGAAATACAAAGCCAGACTTGTCATTAGGGGTGATACTCAGAAGGAGGGTATTGATTATACTGAGACTTTCTCTTCAGTTGTCAAGCTCACTACTGTTAAGTGTCTGCTCTCTTTGGTTGTCAAGAGACATTGGACTGTTTTTCATCTTGATGTCAATAATGCCTTCCTTCATAGGGATCTCCATGAGGAAGTGTATATGAGAATCCCTCCTGGTCTTCAGATCTCTTCCTCTTCTTCTTCCACTGCTTTTCCTTTGGTTTGCAAACTCAGGAAGTCTTTATATGGCCTTAAGCAGGCTTCCAGGCAGTGGTTTTCTAAGTTGTCTGATGCCTTGCTCTGAAGAGGCTACATTGCCAGCAAGAATGATTGATCCTTATTCACCAAGTCTTTTAGTGCTTCTTTGGTCATCTTTGTGGTCTATGTGGATGACATTCTTCCTGCTAGTTCTGATATTGCTGAAATGACTGCTTTAAAACAGTTCCTAGATGATCAATTTAAGATCAAAAACCTTGGTTTGGTCCATTATTTTTTGGGTCTTGAAGTTTTCTCCCATTCTGATGGTTATGTTCTGCATCAACACAAGTATACTTCAGACTTTTTGGAGGAATTCAAGTGTTCTCATCTTTCTCCTATTTCTACCCCTTTGGATCCTTCTGTTAAGTTGACAGGTGACATGGGTGACCTTCTTCCATACCCTAGTCTTTACAGAAGACTAGTTGGCAAGATGAACTTCTTGCAACATACCCGGCCTGATATTGCTTATTTTGTTCAGCATTTGAGTCAATTTCTACAGACTCCCAAGGTTCCTCATATGTTAGCTGCCTTGCATGTCTTGAGATAACTTATGACTGCTCATGCTCAGGGGGGTTCTATTGTCTAATACATCTGATTTTTCTCTTGTTGCTTTCTCTGATTTTGACTGGGCCACTTGTGCTTTCTCAAGGAGATCTATCACTAGTTTTTCTATTACCCTTGGTGGTTTCCCCATTTCTTAGAAGAGTAAGAAACAACCTACTATTTTCCTTTCCTCTGCTGAAATAGAGTATAGGGCTTTGAGGAAGATAATGGCTGAAGTATCTTGGCTTGTTTGACTTCTTGGTGATCTTGGGCTTTCTATTACTGCTCCTGTACATGTGTTTTGTGACAGCCGGGTTGCTTTACATATTGCAAAGAACCCTGTCTTTCATAAGCGTACGAAGCACATTGAGGTGGATTGCCATTATATCCACGATTGTCTCTCTTATGACCTAATTTCTCTTCAGTTTGTTTGTAGTTCTGATCAACTGGCAGACATTATGACTACAGCCTTGCATGGTCCTCTTCATCATTCTATCTTGGGCAAGCTAGGAGTGTTTTCACCCTCCAGCTTGAGGGGGGTGTCAACGGGAGCCCAACATCAGGCCCAACAACAGCTGATGCCCAGCAGCCCAATTAATTATACTACAACTTTCTTTTATTATAGTTTAGTCCATGTAATTGTTAGTAATGCCTCATGTATATATAGTGATAGAATAGTCTAGAAAGATGGTGATTCATTTCTATATTTTCAGAGACAACATCAATGAAATAAAAACTCTCTCCTCTTTCTATTTTCTAGGGTTTCTTTTCTATAAAATTCTTCTCATAGCTCGATTTTCTATCATTAACAGACCACAAGTTTTAAAAGTCTTCTTTCTTTTCTTAAACTTCGTGCCGAGTCAAACTATCTCATCTAAATTGAAACGGAAGGAGTAAAATATTTCCTTCGTACCAAGCATATCAAAATGTGACAACAGTAAAAATGAGAACGATAACAATCATAATCTGTTGGAAAAAATAGTTTTTTGGGGCCTAGTACCATAAAATATTCTCGCTAATTAGTCGTTAGATATAACCCTAAGCCTTAGTGCAGTCTATATAAATATAACCATGAATGTTAGGAGACTCACTGGTTCACAGTAAGGACAGCTTGGATTTGTGCTTTGTATCATTATTTAGGAATAATTAAATTGTGAAAATATGAAGTCCACTACTAGAAAATAGCGATTTTTTGACTGCCAAAACGGTCGCAAAGCAGTCAAAAAATGCTAATTTTCGACTATATTCAGACCAAAAAATCGTAGTCGCAAGATAGCTGGTCTGAAACAGTTTGCGATCGAATCCGTCCATAATTTGCAACTATTGCCGCCGCAAAGTTAAAATAGAAAAACGACTAATAAATGTTGTCAACTCTTCGACTGATGTGATCGTCTCTCAACTATTGGTAATTCGTGTCTCGCATGCAACAACCAATAATTCGAGTTAGGTTGCTCCAGAGTCCAGACAATCTGCATACACAAAAGGAGAAACTCGTAAATCTCCTTTACTAGCATTATTACACATTCCCTCATCAATAACCTTGGATTCCTTTGATTTATCTTATTGAACAACCTTGAATGCAGTATACGAAAGTGACCCGAGGTGGCATTTTCGTCATCAATGACTGGGCTTCTAGCCGCCGTTTTCTCTGTTAGGTAATGAATTGAGTTAAATTCGTTTTTTTTAAAAGCTTTTTTTAAAAAGAATTTTTAAAAAGTAATGAATTGATGCCAAATCGTGCAGCCACTCGGAAGCATATCAGAGTATCCGATACCCGTACCCGTTGCCCATGGGCCATGCTCTGGTGCATGTCGTTGCCATTGACCAGTTCAGGGGTGGGATGGAAGCGTACCACAATTTTAGTTTTATAAGAGTCAAATAAATATCATTATCTTCAAATATATTATATTGTCTTTTTTTTCCTACTAAATAAACTGCGGCTTTAAATTAAAATAGGAAATTTAACGAGGTTCAGTAGATAACGGAACTAATCTTGATGATTGAGTTTTATGTAAGTCTATGCAAAATCTAAATCAAGCATGTAAAAAGGGTGATTCCAAAAAATATACTCCTATTTAGAGTCGGATTTAGGATTTGAATTTTTTAAATTTTTTAGGGTGATTTCAAGTTAATGAATGAGTTCACAATTTAATATTTAATATATAGTATTTAACTACACATAAAGAGTAATGAAGAGAGCAACACTTTTGAAACTTTTGGTATTGAACAAATCTTAATATTTGTGTGACTATTGTGAGCACGTGATTTTTGTTTACACGACAATTACTCCAAAAGAAATCGAAAAATAATAATAAATTGTCTTCGTGTATAATTTTGTGAATTTGCTTGGCATTTCTGTAGTTTTTATCTGTGATTGTTTAGTTTTATCAATTGAAAATACAAAAATATATGTCGCACATAAAGATGAGATCTTGTTCTACTATTAGGAATTAATTAAATTGTATTTGGTTTTGAATGAATAAAAAATCACAAAAAATATTTGTCTTTGTTAATTTTGTCATTTTTATCGTTTAAAGGTTGATTTTTGTATAATTAATATATGATATTGTGTGTTAATTATTACTAAAAATCAATTGGCGTCTTGTGATATAGTTTTGATTTTATAACATATTTTTAGAATTTTTGTAAATTCGGATTTTTATTATAAATGGGAAAAGAAAAGAAATAAGTTTAAATTGGATAAAATTGGGGTTGGGCCATTTCAAATTGGACCCAAATCGGGCCCAAAACATTTGTTTTGCCCGGTCCAGATCAGCTGACCTCAGGGACGCCCATACGACGTCGTCTTGATCATGCTTGATCTGGGCCGTTGATCTCGGAATGATCAACGGCCAAGATCACATCTCCATACCCACGTTTTAACCCCACCCGTCTCACCCAAAGACCCATCAGTCTCACTTAACCCATACGGCGTCGTTTCCGTTTAAGTCGATCAATCCAGGCCATCGATCGTTGATGATCTGACGGCCTAGATTAATTTCCCTCCTAACTATATAAACCCAATCCCTTGCCCTACGCCCCCTAAGCCAGACCCCCCTGACCTCCCTCGTGACCAAACCAAGCTTGGTTTGGTCCGAATCTAACCAGAAAACCCCAAGTCCCAAACCAGCCCCAAGAACCCTAGAAATCCAGTATCTGAGGGTTTTGTCCAATTAAACGAAAGGATTGGGGTCTAATAGACCTTAATCGAAGTGTTCTCAGTTAAGAACACTTCGATTAAAGTCCATCAAACCCCAAAAGTGGTTCGATTCAAAATCCGAGACAGGGTCGCCTGATTTTCAATTCCTTAAGGTATTTCTTTTTCTTTTCCTTGTCAGTTCATGTTGTTTGTTATAATTAAATGTTTGTTCATTTGTCCAAATGTTTAGTTGATTTATTTTGTATTTTTGTATCGACTATTCTGTTCATCTTGCCCGGACCTTTTTATTTGGTCGAGTTTTTCTCTATTAACTGATTGAATGTATGTGTGTAAACTATATAATCGATTGAAAATAAATTTGGTCGATTAATTAGTTTCAGGGTTAACTTTGTTGTGACAGTACGAGTTGCACCCCCTGTTAATACTTGTTCAATTCTGATTCATTGGGTATTGATTGAATGTGTTGTATTTCGCGTAGTCGATTCGATACATGTCGTCAATTAGTTTCAGTTTGGAATGGTAGTAATCTGGCTCATGATGTTTAATTCTTACTTGAATCAGTTGAGAATTGATTACAATTGCTTGTAGTTTGTTCGGTTTGAATCAGAAATCATTTAAGGATTGATTTATAGCTTCAGTCTAGTATAGATTTCAGATTTTAGTTTAATTTGATGGCATGTTTACTCATTTTGGACCTTGGACAGCATGTGCTTTGTTAGTTGTTAATGAATTAGAGTAGAATGGATAGCATGTGCTGTCAGGGCATATTCATGCTGCCCATGCTTGCTTAATTTAATAAAAGATAGACCACTTTAACAATGAAAAAGGGGGCTGTCAGGGGAATCTCATGGGAAGGGCTTTTCTTTTAATTTGTGAGTGGAAAAACAGGAGGAGAACATGGGGGGAGTTCAGTACGGATGGGTTTTTGAACAGGTTGTTGGGTTGATTTGATTGGGGATATAAAAGAGAGGAAGGGAATCAGAAGAGAGGGGGGAACTGGAGGAGACCAAGAGTTTAAAACCAGAAAAAAGAGAGAATTTTCAAGGACCTTAGTGTTTTAAAGCTAGGTTTTCACAAAAAAAGAACTTCAGTTTGTTTTCTGCTCGGAAGTTCAAAATCAGAAGCTACTGTTTTATTGCTTCTGCCTACAATCTTCTTGTACTGCTGGGATTTATCTGGCAGCCTGTTTGTCTGTTGATTTTCAAGCACTACTCTTCAAGCCATTGGTTTTTTTCTTTTTCCAATCTATCCTTGAGATTTCTGCCTGGGGTACTACTACTGTTGTGACTATAGTTGTTGTTGTCGCTATACTATTGTTGCTTCTACTGACCTTCCTCTTCTTCTCACTTTCCAATTCAGGTACACATTTGAATCTCACACTGATGTAACAGTAACAATGAGTATGAAATGAAAGACGCGAAGAATTTTCAATCATTTGGTGATGTACCTATCGTCTTACACAATGTCAGTAAATTTGTGTAATTCTTTAGGTTGTAACTCAATAGCATAATACAGTAGGTAGTTTTTGTACTTAATTGAAACTTAGTCTGTTTAAGTATTGTGATTTACAGTTGTTTGTTTGTATGAATGATATAATCATGCAATTTGTGGAATGCACGAGTAGTTAGCATATCGATGATTAGACTTCATTTTTAGTTATATTTTGTATGTATAGGGTAGAATGCTACTAACCTTGCCAAACGCAATATAGCTTTTAATCATTTGAGTTAACTCTGTCAAAATTGAATTCCATTAGGCAGTTTATAAGACAAGGGTCGAATCCCATTAGTAGCATCCTCTAGTAGTTAATTCCACTAATCTAGTTTAAATAAGTTAGTTTAAATTCAAACTTGAAGAATGTTTAGCGTGAGTTTAGCATTTTATTAATCTTGTATGCGATTTCCTTTATTAAATTAAAAGCATGTTCATGAAATAAGGCATGAAATAATTTCCCGCCTCATAAATAATTAATCCGATAATTAATAAGAGGCCGGAGTTGGCCAAGCATGTAATTTAATTAGCATGTATTTTCTTTCTTCCATTTTTAGAGACAAACATAATAGAAAATGTAGTCGTTGTAGGTTTATCCTTTCAAAATGAGACAATCCTCGCCAAATAAAAATGCAAATCGCGGGGCCCTCAATAATTGGTCAAAAATAAAAATACTTAGAATCTGGGATAGACTGTTCAGTGAATTTCACTGCCTTCCCCGAAGATAATTACGCGTTAGACTCTTTAGG